CCAGCGGAGGGCTACGAGGATGATGAGGGGACTGGAGCATCTCTCCTACGAGGAGAGGCTGAGGGAGCTGGGCTTGTTCAGCCTGAAGAAGAGAAGGCTGAGAGGGGACCTTATAAATGCCTACAAATATCTTAAGGGTGGGTGACAGGAGGATGGGGCCAAACTCTTTTCAGTGGTGCCCAGCAACAGGACTAGGGGCAATGGGCACAAACTGAAGCATAGGAAGTTCCATCTGAACATGAGGAAGAACTTCTTCCCTCTGAGGGTGACGGAACACTGGAACAGGCTGCCCAGGGAGGTTGTGGATTCTCCTTCTCTGGAGATATTTAAGACTCGCCTGGACAAGGTCCTGTGCAGCCTGCTGTAGGTGACTCTGCTTCGGCATAGGGGTTGAACTAGATGACCCACAGAGGTCCCTTCTAAGCCCTAACATTCTGTGATTCTGTGATTCAAAGTAGCTGTTCATATACAATAGTTCCCCCTTTTCATGTGCAAGTTCACCAATTTAACGCCAAAAATTAACTCACTACCTTTTCAATATATCAGAACGCGCACCGGGAGCAAGGAAAAGTGAACTTTCTCCTTCAGCATTCTACTTTAGGATCACCAATTTAAAAATACATATATCTCAATGTATACTTCAAAAATCATACTTCAGCTTCAGCATTGCAGTATTACTCCCACATCAGAGGAAAACATTGTTTTCCAGCATGAAATCAAGAATCAGCAACTCAAAAAACTTTTTATTTGCTCTGAATATCAAACACAATGTACATCAAAAGCATCAACTTTTTTTTGGTTGCAGTCCAGCTTCCTGACCCTACTTAAAATTGTGTAAGAACAAAAAATAAAAACTTTTATTTCCTTTTGGAATAGTCTGTATGCCAACACATCTTTGAGAACAAGCCTAGTATTATTAGTCAAGTTTTGGAGCTGTACTGCAAGAACCCCTATTGCACACAAACTTTCTGGTGTTGGGGTAAGTGTAGTTTCCTTTAAATCCCATCAACAGAGATAATAGGAAAAGGATGGACAAAACCACTGCATTCTGCAGCAATCCTAGTTCATGCAAACACACCAAATATTAGGAGTTAAGCTGTGCTTTCACTTAAACCTGCTTAATGAGACTAAATCAACTGACTAGAAATTTTTAAATTAAAAAAATACTCCAACAAATAGAAACCAAATCCTGATTTCTCACATGTTCATTTTTGGTGTTCTAAATTAACTAGACATGGCACCAAGACACTAAATTTACATAATATTTAGATCAGGCTATTAACAAAGGTCTTCCAGAAAATAAGTGTAAGCTCAATCTAGGAAAACAAATTATATTTCTCTGGCTTTGTAGATGTTTTGCAGCCCAAGACAAACAACCTAATGTTAAGCTCAAAACAAAAGAAAAACTACTACAAATACTTCTGTCACATTAGATACTCATATATAAATCTCTTTACCAGAAAGTGTAACACTAATTTCTCTGCAGAAAACCAACTTCACTTCATGTACGTTCAATTTTGTATCCAAGTCCAGTTTTGAAGCAATTCCTGTATCGGAAAGTGCTGGCAGAAGTTGCACTAATAATTGCCCATGCATAATAAAGCTTTCAAAGGAAAGTTATACTATCATTCATTCTTTGTTGAGAGAACAAACCGCTGAAGGATTTTTAAAAACTCCCAACAATCTCCCCATATATACTTGCAAAAAAGGATACTTGGAAGCAACTGAATTGGGCTTTGTGTTTTTCCAGGCATCATTTCCTCAGAGTGATAACTTTAAGCTTCTGCAAATTGGCAATTTAATAAAGAAAATCATTACCCATTCTTTTAAAAACACCAAAATATTTCAGAATTTATTTCCAGATGGTAGAGACTACAGACCTTTGCTGAAATGTGTATTTACTAATTCTTTTAAATCAGGGAAAAAATCATATTTAAACCAAATTTCCTTCAAATTAAGTACAGGCTGAGCAAGCATTTCAAGAAGTTCTTCAGTCTTTCTTCGCAGAGAAGTTTTGAAGAATTAAAAAACAGATCTTTGCTCACATGTATTAATGAAGGCTTTTTCTTCATTTCACAAGAAGAAAGTACGTTAGGGAAATACACTGACAAACTGTGTGACACCAGGAATTAAAACTGGCTGATGCTACACGCTGTTTTTGAAGCTTACAGAAATTTTTTACAAGTTAAAAAAAAAGAATTTATCTCCTCAACTCCTCAAAACTGAAACTGATTATTGAAAGTACTGTTACATTAATAATATATGAATCTACTTGTCACTTCATATTAAAAATGCTTCTGTAAATTACTTTAGTAAGACTTAGAAAAAAAACACAAAAATACTTACATTGCATTGACTTTATCTTCTGGGCCCTGAACTTGGCCCGTTACAGTTCCTTGACTGGTATTTTTAACCCAGCCAACCACTCCTAACTTCCTAGCTTCCTCTTCTGTGTACTGATTTGAAAAATAATAAGAGGACAATCAGTGTCAGCACATACAGCATATCTATACCACTTAAAAACCCACTATCATAGCTTTAAAACCTACACTTAAGAAAAAAATCCGTGGACACTGCTCATATTCGGGCATTAAGATATTCCTGTCAGCTCTGAAGTTGCAGCAGACCCAGTCAACTTTTGAACAAGAATTAGATCTTTACATATACATAATAAATGCATGAGTTAATTCACTCTCCCATTTTCATAGCTTTTAACACTTTTCTTTGAAAAAAATATAGATATGACGGCTCACACAAAGACATTACACTGCTCATAATGTAAGTCATCATCTTCTTTGCTTTATCATCTGTACATGCACATAAGTCTTCTGATGGTGTGAAGCTTTTTCATTCACAAGGAGGTCAAAAGCTTGCTGCCCTTACTTTAGCAACTCTTAACACTATTTTCATCATAACGGACTCTACTAATCCCTCAACACTCGCTTGTACCTACTCTTTTCCTTTCTCTAGCTCCTATCACAGCTCATTTGCCTCTTCAGCAATCACACTGACTCATTAAATTTGCTACATGTACAAATTTCACAGTTCCTTCTCTCCAATTTCATTTTAAATCCTTTCCACCTGAATTTCACCCCTTAAATTCTACTCCCAGCTGCTGCATTACTACTGACAACTAGCAGCAAAGGTCATAATCTAATTATACCAGTTCTCTAGTATTTTTCCAATACCACAACAAATTATGGTTTCCCAGCTATTCACTTCATGTGATGAAATCAGGAACTTCCAATCACCCTTGGTTTTTAGAGAGTTTTTAAAAAAACCCTCAATTTCCTGTCTTTCATGTACATATGAAATATATGCATGGTTTTCGTAATTTATCTCTGAACATTGAAATGGTAGGAAACAGAAAGCCTGTTTTGCCGAAATCAATTCTTGTTCTAAGTAGGACAATGAAAACACTATTAGCCAAAACACATTACTTAATTTCATTAATAGCAAATTTATTTACATTTAAGGTACCTCCTCTGTTTCACTTCTTGTATGTTTAGTAGAGGTATAAGATCACATGGCCCATGTTTTCATATTGTATTACAGAACATCAACAGACTGATGGCTCTAACAGTAAGATCTGAGAGTTTTCAATACATTTAGATGGGAAATAGCCACCAAACATTTCAGAGTATGTGCAATAATACCCAAAACAGTACACACACTAAGTGTGCACATTGCATTATCAGCCTCTTTAGACACTTATTCTAATGCCAAAAGCCAAACTTCAGGTCAATACAACCACATTCCAAAAGATGAAACAAATTTTGGGGTAATCTAAGCAACAAAAAGGTGTTGCTAACTATGAAGAGTATTTTTCAAATTGATTATGAGCAGCTTCTCCATATCAATTCATCCAAAAGCATGGGAATGCAGCTGACAACCTGTTTCTCAATACTGCTTATGAGCTGAGGACTGGCACTGTGGTATGTGTTCACATGGCTTCAGGTCAGCTCAAAACAAGGTAGAGCAAACCTGCACCTGCCCACCACAATGTGTGGACATACATCTTCCACTTGATAGAATAATTAAATTCAAGACAAACTACATAGTTATCCTCTATCCATTTCAAATTTCCACCATTTCACAGTACATGTAAACTACACATAAAAACTTTTGGGTCTAATGTTAAGCATGGCCCACTATTTTCAAAGACCTGTTCTTACTTGAAATCTGTCCTCTTGTTTCTTCAGTTTCTGTGAAATGCAAAACTAGCTGCTACATGTTCAGAGCTGGTGGAGACGTTTTACTGGAATATGAGCCACAGAATGCATGCTCGTAGCACATCATTACAAGGCAACAAAATGAGCTTCCTTAAATACTGCTACTATAATTACCATTAAAAAATACATGGGCGTACATTGTTTCAGAAGCTAATATCAAGATCTTCAGATTTAATATTTCTGAAGGTTAACATGTTAAAATGCTCTTGTGCTTGTTTTATCACAAGTAATCCAGACACAATCTTTAGATACTATACAAACAAGCAACACATTAGTAAGCTTTTAAAAATCCATTTTAATATAACAGTAATATAATTTTTTCCCCTTTTAAATCCACTTGCAATACTTAACCATCTAACCTAGAACTGAAAACAGCAGTTGGACGTGTTTATACTCTACAGACCTGCTGCCATATTTTTAGCACTGGAAATACTATACTGCAAAGCAGAACTGGCAAATCAGACATTGCCTTACCATCCTGAAACAAACACCTAGAAAAGAAAGAAAAAGACATTAAAATAATTTGAAAGAATACCACTTCTTGGAATTTCTCTTAATATAAAGTTACAGTAAATGGCATACAAGTCATCTGTTCTCTTTTTTTACAGAAGTTTGAAATTTTAACAGGGCAAACTCTACAAAATTTGGGTACACGCTGGCCTCGCTCCTTTCCCTCAGCAAACGATTATTTTCATTAACGCAGTTAGCGCACGTGGCTTTCTCTAACGAAGATGCTGCAGCGTGGGAACTGCCTTTGACTCAATTTTCACGTCAACGCTTTGCTGCCAGCGGGGAGGGGCATTCCCACATAACCGCGGGCAGGAAAGTGCTTTTGACAGCACAGCCTGTGCTCCGCACGGAACCGGGCGAGCCTGGCAGCGGGGTTTAGATTCACACCCTTTCGTCCTTTACCGTTGAGGACGAGGAGTCTGCAGCCTCCCCCCGACACGACCTCAGCCCC